TCAAGGAACCATATTCCCTTGCCGCATTCCTTCTGCAGGAGTCCACCCTAAGTAAGCACCTCTGTCAGAGTTTACCTTGGGTGCATGACCTCACAGTCCCTACCCCTACCTCACGGTGCCCGTGTCTGGCCATGCACTAATGGGCACGGGGACAGTGAGCATCAGTAGGCTATCATCCGGCATTGTCCCTGTATAAGCAGATGCCATCAGTATAAAATAAAACAAAAGTGATTTGGGGGTGTTTTTATTGTCCCTTCATACCCCATAGAGAATATACATAAACATATATATGTGTGTGTGTGTGTGTGTGTGTGTGTGTGTGTGTGTGTGTGTGTGTGTGTGTGTGTATATAATTACACACATACATAATATATAATTACATACATACACATACACACACACACACACACACACACACACACACGACACAAAGGGGGGGAAAAACACCAAACAAAATCTCTGCCCGCTTGCCTGAAGGCCATTAATATAAATTTGTAAATTGCCATTTACCTTATTTGCCTGAATCAGGTGGAAATCTTTTCCATAAGCTTTAAGTCCTTGCTCAAAATTCCGACACTCCTCCTCTGTCCAAATAGAGAGCTCTTCTGAAGGAGGTACAGAAAGACCATTTTTTATTTATTTTTAAACTGGAGCTGCAGAATTGTATCACAGCACAAAGTATAAATGACGCCCTGAACCCAAAGGAAGACATTTTTCTGCACACAGCAAACTTGCTGTCAGTACTCCTAGTGAAGGAGACAGAAAACTGCTTATTGTTCTGATTTTCAAAAGATCGGTGCTTACCACGCGCTGCCTTCACATTAAACCTTAATCTTCTCAGTGCTTCTTCTGTGTCAAAATTACATTTCACCAGTTCATAAAGGGCCTAGAGAGCAAAAATAGAAGAACAGGTTATAAGATAACAGTGTATGTAAACCCGAAACATTAGCTGCTCTTCTTTGCTCTCTTCGGGTCTGTTAAATATACAATTTAGAGTGTTTCGGTTTATCTATATAATGTTTGATAAAAGGCGAAAAAATAGGATATGTTTTAATTTAATAGTAAAATCCTTTTCTTGGAGTCCATTGATGGACACAGGGAGTCACACGTGTTATACTGCTGCCTACAGGACTGTACACTGGCAAAGAAACATTGTAGGCTACCCCAGGAGGGCCCCTCCTACATGAGCATGGTCATACACACAGAGGGGTGGGACCTGTGTCCCCCAGAGGACTCCAAGAAAGGGATTGAACAGGGAATGCAAAAATCGTTAATTGTTCACTGAGGGACACTGGAATTCTTGGACTGTCAGGTTCTCCAAAAGCAGTCCAACATCAGAAAGGGCAACACAGCAACAAATTCTAACAGGGCCATAAAAAGACAACAGAAACCTGGGGACTGTCTGCAGCTCAAAGAACCACACGAAGGACCCAACACCCGAAATTGGCTTTAGATGAGGCTTGATGAGATGAAGCCTGAATATTATTAAGGAATATACATAGAAGACCAGGTGGTAGCCTTGCAAACTGAGAAAAGTTGCATTACTAATAGAGCAAAAAGCACTCACAGATCTAGTATGACAGGACAAGGTGGAACCCTGATAGGAGGCAGGAAGGCAAACTGTCAGGACATCCAAAAGTAGCCCAACAGCAAACAACCACAAGCAAGCTCCACATGAGGAGCAGCTGAAGGGGCTCCAGAAGGCCAAAGTCCAAAGAAGGTACTGAATGAGACCCAACCCCACATGGCAAGGAGAAGACTAGACCAGGAGGAGAATACACGAAGAACTATGCCCGATGCCCAAGACCAAAAGACAAAATGGTTACACACGACCAGTAAACAGTTGCTGAAAAAGTTGAAAATAATTTATGGTGAAAAAAGGCCGAATCCATGCTTTTTGACACTTCAAGGTGTGCGCACGCCCCGCTGTGCATTGTGGTACCTTAATGTGCAGCATTGAAGTACACAGTATGGTTGACAAGAAGAAGAATGCAGTGACAACTGAATTGTATGTGGGATATCCGTACAATAAATGTGTGAATTCATCACTGATCATTAAAGGAGAACTATGAGGTGAGTGCTTTTCACTCACCTCATAGTTCTAGCCGACCTGTGACAATGAAACTGTCACAGGTCGGCAGGTGAGCGAACACATACCGGCATTCGCTCACTTCTCGATCCTGTCACGGCAGAGAGCCGTGACAGGGGAGCGACTGGATTCCCCCCTCCCCGCTCCGATCCTCCATTGCTGACTGGCGGAACGGACGGGGAGGGGGCGGGTACAGCTGGCTCTGCCTCTAGATAGGCAGAGCCAGCTGTCACTCACGCAGCTGGGCGGATCCCGGCACAATTGTCGATATCGGTTTCAGCTGCTGCGTCTCAGTATACCACGAGCTGTAGCTCGCGGTATACTGAGCTTAGGGTGACGGGAGGACGCTAGTTTGTGTGCTCCCGTTACCCTTAGGAGAACTATGGGGAAAAGCCCTAACCCCATAGTTCTCCTTTAACCATCATCTGTGTAACCTTTAATGTAGTGAACGTACAAAAGAGTTAAGAGTATGTGATAGGTGTGGTGCGGCTATTGGTCCTAATGGCCAGGACCTCTGAAAAGTCTATTTACACTTAAGGCACGGGGGGTGCACGTGTAGAATCACTTACCAACCCTGCCAGGTGATCTCAAACTTTTGGAAGCTACCTCTTTGGGCATAGGGCAAGCTTTCCAAAGTGAAGGGCAGAGTTCACCTTTTTTATCCAAATGTCTGTGAAGGTTCCCATTCATCCAGGTCATGGTATATCTGTAAAAAATAAGTCGAGGCGACTGGACTTGCTGTATTTTCCCAACCAAGCCTGGCTTTTCTATCCAAAGGCAACTGGTCGGGGGTTGATGAGATAGATGGAGCTCTGCCTTTTACCTGATACAAAACCACTACAGTTCTAACAGGGAAGCACAACCAGAAAAATGAAGACCGGAAGTCATTTAAGATGGAAACGCAAAGGAAAAATAATTTCCCTTGAACCATAAAATGTAAAAAAGCAGGAAAGTACCTAAAACACCATAACATACATGGTAGGAACATGCCGTGTGCTTCTCCAGTACCTGTTCATTGTCCTTTATGTGCGCCCCTTCAGGAATGGCGTCCAGTCCTTTCTCCTCCCCAGTTCTCTTTGATGACTCTATCAGAAAGTCTATGACTCTTTCTTCTCCAACATACTCTGGATTCCACAGTAACTGGTCATCGTTTTCATACACTGCATCATAAAATATCCAATATCACATTCTGTTCAGCACAATAAAACAGCACCTAAGCATTTTGTGAGCTCCTTGTGCAACTCTGGAAACAATCTGCGTGTGATGCTGTTATATTGGGTACTTAACTCCACTTGACTACAAGACTTGTCACCTACTCTGATCCTGGCCTGCGTTACTGCCCTGCCTGAGCACCTCCTCTCCACACTGCAGATGTATTTACCTTTTTCTAGGGATGCACCGATACCGAGTATTTGGGCAAGTACTCGCCCAAATGCTCCGATACTTACCTCCGATACCTGAACTTCCGGTCAGCGGGAGAACTCCCTCTGACCGGCAGTGCCAAGGGAGCATGCAGCCGGCTTCCCTGCCAATTACTCAGTGGCATATGACCCGCCTCCCTGATTTGCTAAAAAGCCGGATGGCACGTAATGACCTGCCTCCTGATTGGTCAGGAAGCCAGGCTGCCTAGGAACAAGTGAAGTCAGCTTCCTAGCCAATCAGGAAGCCGAGAGGCGGGTCATGAAGTCCCGCCCAACTTCCCGATTGGCTAGGAAACCAGCTTCACTTGTTGGTAGGCAGCCTGGCATCCTATCCAATCAGGAAGCCAGGCGACACGTCCTGACTCGCGTCTCGGCTTCCTGATTGGTCAGAAAGCCATGCAGCCTCGGCAAGTTAAGCCAGTGTTCTTTCGCTAGAACACTGGATTCGTAGGCAATCAAGAAGCCGGCTGGTCATGATCCGCCGCCCTGATAATCAGGGCACATGGCACCGGCATGCGGTATTGGCGGGTACCGGAAAAAAAAAATAAGGAAGGCAAAATATAAGCAGATTAAACTTCAGCTTAATACATAAAAGCAAAATTGCTGTTCCAACATGCTGTGACCAGTCACTCCTGACATCTACAAAAGACAAATGGTTGACTCATAAAATCTGCCTTGGAAGAATTAGCTTTCTGAAATGGAAGAAAGCCGTCTGGTCCTAATAAAGACTCATTTGCGCTGCTCACCTTTTTCTGTTTCTCGATATTCTCTAATACCGGCCGGGATTTCAGCTTGAAACATAGAACCCACCATGATCTCCTAAAAGGACACAAATTAAGCAATATCGTCAAATCAACATCTGAACATTGAAAATGATGAACATCTGAAAATTAGAGAAGTTAATTATAACCTCTGCAAAAGCAATGAGGTTTAAAGGGCTCAATCACATGGCGACCAATCTAAATCACAGATTCTTGAAGAACCAGAGCTTCTGAGGCAATGGGGTTTGCAGCCTGGCATTAGAAATCAGCTCATTTGTTGCGCTATGCTGCACAGTCAGGCTTTTTGTAGTGATAAAAGATCATTTAACAGAATAAAATGGCTCCTTTCTTCACAAACTGATTCTCTAAGTAGGTCATATGGAGCCCCAGTAAAGCAGAGCTCCAGGCATCAAGGTAATGGTCTGTATATGGTAGACAATATACACTCCATGTATCTTTTGTAGTTAAATAACTTTTCTTATGAATGTAATGTAGTATAGGGACGCACAGCTATCATTTTTTTCAGACCGAGTATGCGTATAGATACTGTTCTTTTCGTACTCGCCGATGACAGTTACCAATTTTTTGTGTCATGTGACAGTTTTTCTAAAACAATACAGACTAAGCCAGCCTACAGACTGATTTTAGGACAGTGGTGGGAGTGCCAGGGCCCGGTCGCAGCTGCTACCTGGTAGTTCTGCTACTGACTCCAAGCTGTAGAGCAGGGGTAGCCAAACTCCGGCCCTCCAGCTGTGGTGGAACTACAAATCCCATGAGGCATCTCTCTCCGGGAGTCCTGTCTGAGAATCTTGCAATGGCTCATGGGATTTGTAGTTCCACCACAGCTGGCGGGCCGGAGTTTGGCTACCCCTGCTGTAGAGGGACTGCAAATCCCCGCAATACATTATACAGCAATGCAGAATACAATCAGCTATAGAGCAGTACACATCTCAGCAATACATTATACAGCAATGCAAAATAATATGTTGCTACATACTCTGTGCTGCTCTTGGGTTCGGGCCTGATGTCTCAAGCGGAGGGGGTGCGGAGGGTCTAAGGAGGGGTGCTCAAGGTCTCAGGAGGGGGAGATGTGCGGGTGGCAAAAGCGCTGAAAGCATGAGCCACATGATTGCCCAGAAGGCTGCCCACGAGGTTCCCAGCCACTGCAGGACCTAAGGCAGCTGCTTCAGTTTGAAAATGTAAAGCGCCAGTGTCGGGTTTTTAGTATCAAGGCATTTTCACGATTATGATTACTTGAAAATGCCCAGTCACCAATACCGTTATCAGTGCATCCCTATAATGAGGGCTCGAAAATCCACTCGTCTGCTCTTCTGTGACGAGCAGACAGTGGAGCCCGACGAGCAGCTTCCAGGCCGGCCGTTGTAATTACACGGCCGGCCGGGAGCTTTACAGTCAAGCGATCGAGCGTCTATAGAGACGCTCGATCGCTTGTATCAGAAGCTGTCACTGCCGTTGCCGGTCCCGAGATCCGCTGTGCCCGATGCGGCCGGGACCGGCACGGCTCTGTGACAGGAGATCAAAGGGAGTTCAGTACACAAACTCCCTTTGATCTCCTCTCAGTCCCCGAATGCAGGAAGTGATGTATATTACATCACTTCCTGCATTCAGTGTCACTCTCCAGCTAGAGAAGCTGATGAAGCCGATCTCTGCTTCATCAGCTTCTCTGGGGGTCCCTAGGTGACTTTAGGGGTCTTGGAGACCCCTGATGTCTCCATTAAGAGGACCTGTCATGTAAATTAGCTATCACATAGGGGGCTTCTTAGCCCCCCATGTAATAGCAATAAAGTTGTGAAAAAAAAAAAAGTAATATAAAAATTAAAGAATCATAAAAAAATAAAGAAGCATTAAAAAAAATTAAAAAAGAAAACATTTTTTTAAGTCCCCCACCCCCCACATACATATGCGTCGGGTGCGCCTACGTGCGAAAGCGACGATTGCGCTTATTGTGCTGCACATGTTACATATCGCCGCAAACGTCCCAGTGAGAGCAATAATTCTAGAGCCATCAATCACTGATAACACTAAACTGATGAGCAGTAAAAGCATTTTAATCGTCGCGTATGGGCGTTTTTTGCGATTTTGCGGGTGCACGCAATTTTAAGGCTTGACATGTTTGGTGTCTATTTACCCGACATGACCCCGACTTTTATGTTGTACTAAAAATATGGGTAAGAATAAATGTTTTATAACATAGGGAAACTTTTTTTTTTTTTTTACATTTATGTTACTTTTTTCATTATAAAGTAAAAACAAATAACCCCCCGTGGGGTCACAAAACAAAGCTCTATCTGTCCCCAAATTTTTTAACATATATTGCAAGGCTACAGTCCGGTCATGCTGACTGGTGAAATTTTTGACTGACTGGTGAGACACCGCCAAATTTTTCAAGCCCTGCCTATAATGCAGTGGTCATATAAGTGCACCAGTCCCATTTGCTTTCTGTGGTATGCCAGTAGACATGTCCCAGAAGTCTGTGTGGGCAAGCTGCTGTGCTGTCTGGGGCAATAGTAAAGACGACCAGCTGCAGCAACTGCATTATTAAGTCATCCCTCTAATTCCGAGAACTACAGGGGACATGTAAATAATCAGTTGGCCACGTCAGAAAGTGGGTGCTGAGGGTCAAAGTCGCCCTGTATGCAGAATATGAAGCAGTAATGCAAAGGGAAAAAAAACAAAAAGTGGAGTCAGGACCCCCTCTGACAGAGCAGATCATAGTAACAAATCTAAACGGGAGTCTTCTTTATAAACGAGTGCAAGGCATTGCCGATATTAGCACCAAGACAAGTGACCATACCACGAACCAAGCGTACTGGAAACTCAAAAACCAAAAGCAGCACTATAGGCGTATGCCTCCATTGCAAGAAATAGGAACATTAGGTTTACTTTTTTCCAGTCCTCCGAAGGAATATAATCTTCATCGTCTTCGGATTCCTCTTCTATTTCATTATCTGGAAAAATACATTTTTATTTTTAATTCACATTAGCCCAGAACGACGCTTCAATCACCGAGAACAGCAAGAGAGTCTAAAAAGGAGAGACTTACTGGTATCAAAGTACTTGCAGCGCCGAGACCGGGTAACTTCTGGTGCGTCTTGAGTAGCAGATGGCGCTGGCTCGTCAGACGATTGAGTCTCATCTTCTTGACCAGATGAATCTTTAACGGTTTCATCCTTAAAAAGGAAAATCCCATCAGTACGTGCACTGAAACGAGGAGGGTCCACCTAAAATCAGCCATGGGCAAACCGCAATCTTCAGCTGGGATGAGTCACTATCTAGAAGGGCGTGCTGGGACCTGTAGTTTATGGAAAGCTGGCAGCACTGCAATATGTGGAAGTCTATAAAGGAGAACTATGAGGCGAGTGAAAATCCTCACAGTTCGAGCCGACCTGTGACAATGAAACTGTCACAGGTCGGCTCAATAGATCGGGAAGTGAGGGAACGCATACCGTCGCTCGCTCACTTCTCGATCACCTCCCTGCAGAGAGCCGTGACTGTCCAGCGGTGACTGGCGGAACAGATGGGGTGGGTACAGCTGGCTCTGACTCTAGATAGGCAGAGCCAGCTGTCACTCACGCAGCTGGGTGGATCCAGACAGTAATGTCGGGATCCGTCCCGGCTGTGGCGGTCTCAGTATACCGCGAGCTGTAGCTCCCTATATACTGAGCTCTGGGTCACGGGAGGAGGTTAGTATATGTCCTTCTGTGACCCTGAGGAGAACTATGGCGAAAAACACTCACCCTATAGCTCTCCTTTAAATCAAACATTTCTGAAAGCCGTCGCTCGACACGGCAGCCCAAACAAGTGGGCGATTCGCGGTAAAAAAAAATTGCGCGACAAAGGCGCGTTTCCGTGGGCTACTTGGCTGTATCCCAATGGAAACGCGAGACCAAAACGCCCCAAAGAAGTACATGTACTTCTTTGGGCGTAGGCCGTTTTGTATCGCGTTCGGATGGGCGGAAATACGGCAAGGTGTGAACCAGACCCATTGAATACAATGGGATTTAGATGTTTGAGCGTTTTGTAGAGCGTTCGTCGAGCGTTGAACGTGCTACAAAACTTTCAGGTGTGAACCAGGCCTAAGGTGTGGTGTTCTTCCTGAATGGACATTGACAGATTCTCTGCTTGATGACCAGAATTTGCCTTTATACTAATACCTGTAATCTGATGCTCACCTTATTCTCCCCGCTGCATCCGCTGTTCCCATCATTGTCGTCCTCCTCTTCTTCATCCTCATCCTCTTCCTCCTCCTCCTCTTCACCAGGTAGAGGTACAGTGCTACCGTAGCCGTAAAGTCTTAATAATTCATGAATTGGCATCTCGCTTTCCTGGAATAAAAGAACGGCTAGTTAAAGGGTGACTCCACTTTAAAAAAATAAATAAAAACACCTTTTAAAAAACAATATACCGTATATAAAACAATATACCGTATATAATTGTAGCAGAAGCCATTGTCATGTTATTTAAAAAAAACGACCTTTACGTTTAAAACTAGCCGCTGTAATGTGCTAAATCCGTAAAAAAAAAAAAAAAAAAAAAAAAAAAAAAAAAACTAACACAACCGGGG